TTCGGCAGAGCCGTACTCTTAACATCTGACCTGACAGACCACTCACCATACAAACAAATCGGCTTCGTTGAGAAGCTGGGTTTATTTGGTCGAGTGTGAATAGGTGTGAGCCACAATAAACCCTTGCGGGTTGCGGTGGAGGGTCGAATAGACCAACTCAATTTAAACCTAACCTAACCTATCTTTATGCGTAATCTACAATCTATCGAACTCACCTAATTGTCTCCAATGTGAAAAAAGTCCTGGTCGGCAGTAGTCTATCAAAGCTGATAGGAGTATTCCAGAATTCCAGTCTGTGGTGAGATTGTGCACTTTGCATTCTGGAAGGACAGCTTGAAGCCATGCCAGCATTAATTTTCTTGGTGGGAATTTGGATCTGCCTATTTGGTATCTTACAATGAGCGACCATATTAGTCCTAATATGAGTTTCAAGTTTCCGTTTACGATATCTACGTTTCCTGAAAAACAAAATTGGGAGTTAAGAAGCTGATTATCATTCAATTTTTTCATGATAATACAATCACGAATCAATGAGTTGACTATTTAAATTACTTATGAGGTAACTTGAGATAAAATAAAGATCTACTATATTATTTGCGAATGATATTGTTATTTAATATACAAAATACAGTAGAATGTAGATATAATGAAGAAAATGGATAATACTTGTAGCTATAAAATCAGGAGTATAACCTAGGAGACAAGTGATATTCTGGTCAGTTTCGACGTTGTTTCCTTGTTCACCAACGTCCCACTGGAAGATTCTTTGAGAGAGATAGCCAATCTGTTTCCTAGTGATGTTGTCACTTCAAGGCCTGCCTCACGGGAAGTTACTTCCAATGGAAAGGAGATTTCTATGAGCAATTGGACGACGTAGCGATGGGAAGTTCACTCATGCCGGTGATAGCGAACTTCTTCATGAAGCAATTTGAGAAGAAGGCAAGTATCAACACCCTGACAGAACGTGCCCGTAGAATATGTGAACCAGAGCACCTATGAGAAAAATTGGATCATCTTCAAGTGCCTTTGAGATCGAATGGATACAGTGTAACCGAGATCAACGAGGCCATGAAATTGAAGACTTCTACAAGTCAAAATAGGGAGGAAACTCCGTACATCCCTAGAGTTACAGATAGAATCGAGAAAATCCTAAGGAAACATAACATGAAAACAGTATTCAAGCCCACCAGGAAAATACAGCAAAGCACGAGATCTTCTCAGCTGCGGGGATGTATCGTATACCATGCACCTGCGGAAAAGTTTATATCGGTACTACCAAAAGATTCGTGGATACAAGGCTTGTACGGAAAGCCATAGAAATCCATAAACATACGGAAAACTACAACAGAAAATAGGAGGCGGTAACGCTTTACCGGATTTGGACTCCCATACTAAAAGATGCTAAAGTGACAACAGCAATTTTACGTCATTAACAGGTAATAATACTTCGGCCAATAGCAAAGCTTCAACAAGAGAGGCGGACTACCTGGGACAACATAAATACAACCTACGAACTAGAAATCACCAGTTATCGGTGAATCATCAAGATGGATAAACCTCTGAAGAAGCCAGCTACTCGTGCTGCCACTCCATTATCAATTGAATTTTTGGGTCGAGAAATTTTAGATGTGATAAAAAATTGTTTAGTGTCTCTTCACCATCTTGCCATACAACAAACTTGTCATAAACATAACGCAGCCAGAAATTATCAGGAATTGATAATATTTTCTTCCATTCCATTTCTTCTAACCCAATGGAATTGCAGATGTACCCCTTTCTCAACTCACCTCAACAATATCTTTACGAACCGCTAGCCATGCGTGCACTCACTCTCACCAAACAGTCATAATTACACTAATGTTCATGCTCGTTCCTCATATGCACTTGGCTCCATAACAATAAGACATACAAGGTGTAGGAAACAAGATTGATCACAATAGCGTGACGATATTTAATCCCCTTTCAACAGGAAATTGACGTGTCTGAATTACTAATCATCTTATACACAGACACTCAATAAGTGATCATTGTTTGGAGTGTGAATTTACAAATGTACTCCTACTCATCGTCAGGGGTGTGAGAATGAGATTCAATTATAAAGGATGAACAAGCTTTTGCTATTAGCTTCATGCGAATGTTTTGTATAATTAATTCTGTTTCTTTTCTGTTTGTGCAGGAGCATTTATGATATATGGAACATTACTCATGTTGGTAGCATTGACGATGAGTGGATAAATACTTTTGCCTGATACGTTTTTTTATATAATGATGGAGAAGCAGAAAATCGAAGAGCTTTTGAGTAATCTCTCCCTAAAAATATTCCCCTTTCAATCGATGGTGATGCTGATTCTGCTGAAGTACAGCTACCGGAGTAACGGCAAAAGGAGAGTCTTGGAGGAAGTTGTGTGATAGTACCTCTGATTTACCTCGCAGCACAAGAATTCACAAGATTCCCTTCAGAGAGTCGACTGCTGAAATAGGTTCGTTTAAACGACCCGATGGAACATTCACGACCTCTAGTAAAGGAACGTTAGAGCTTTTGATAGGAAACAACTTTCCTGGAAATATGACTCTTGATAACAATAGACCACCCATTTTCGCCCAAAAAATAACGATTGGAAGGTCGTCAAGAAGTGTATCACAGCACCGGCAGTTGAATGGGCTATTAAGTCATTTCAGCCCTTCAAATTTCCTGGAGAGGATGGTATATTTCCAGCTCTTCTTCAAAACGGACCGGAACTAATTTTGCCTATTATCAAACCGGAAAATCGACAGATTTAGCATTAAACAACTTTGTAGAGAAAATCTCCCAGTCCCCTGACAACAAGGAGATTGCGGTTGCTGTATTTCTTGATACTGAAGGAGCATTTGACAATGCACTACCCGAATCTATAGGATAATTTATGGCTGGGAAAGGTATAGAATTAACCATAACTAGCTGGATCTGTATCATGCTGGTAAACAGAACTGCAACTACGACTCTTCATGGTGAGGCCATTAGGTTCAGGATCACAAGGGGCTGCCCTCAAAGTGAGGTACTTTCTTCACTTTTGCGGTCCTCCAAAGCTCGATGGACGTTGTTCACAGTTGGTGCCTGAGGGAGCAGATGCCTCTCCACTACAGCAAAACTGTGATAATTCCCTTCACCAAGGAGAAATTTGGACGATCTAACGCCACTTTCCATCAATGGTGAGGTCATTTCATTTGGAACGGAGGTGAAATATCTTGGCATTGTCCTCGATAAAAAACTCACCTAGAACGCTCACTTGGAAAACGTTTTACACAAAGCCAGACTGTCCCTATGGACTTGTCGAAGGATTTGTGGTTATAATTGGGAATTAGGTCCCAAACAAATCCATTCGATTTATGTGATGATTGTCAGACCAATGATCACGTATGGTGCTATTGCCTGGCGGCCGAAGGCTTCATAGAAAACGGCCCAGGCGAAGCTCTCTGGCTAACAGAGACAGGCTTAGTTGGCCATCAGTGGTGACATTATTACCGCACCGTCAGCGGCCATGGAGATCCTTCTAGATCTACCTTTCCTCTACATTTTTCTGGAGAGAGGCTAGATGGACTGCATATATACTTGTGCACATTGCCAATTGCACAAATCAATTCAATGCAGAGTGCAACAGACATTGGTTGACATTGGAAGTCACAGCATTCTGGTAATGACCTCTGACTTTATGCCTCCAACTGTCAGCTACGAACTGCCTTATAAAGTACTATTCCCGAGTAGAGGGGACTAGATCCTCCGGGAGAAAGAAATATTAAGAGCAGCAGTGGTTGGATCACAGATGAATCAAAAAAACCTTCTGGTTCCGGTTGCGGGTTGCGGTGGGGGTCGAATAGACCCATTCACTTTAGACCTAACCTAACCTAACCTCACCCAAGTGGAATTTCAATATCCATTCATTGTTTGTCCCTCAATCCGTACTACGTCAAATTGCAAACAAAAGTTTCTATTCCTTCTTTCCTGATACTTTCTTTGTCAAACACCGACCCAAATGTAACACAGATACGATTCCTCCCACTGACCATGACTTAGTCCGGTAGCTGTGAGTAACCTTGAAAATTCGAAGACTTGAGGAAAAATAATTATCAATTCTTATTATGTGGGAAAATTAAACTTTTATGAGAATTTTTATAGTAAGTTCGTCAAATTCAGGAGCTTTCTTCGAAACCAACGTACTAATTATTTCAAATACTTTTTCTGGTTCGGTAGGCCTGGGATACATGAACGATTATATTAATTGAATTGCAGGACGATTCTGAGTATAACTAAAACTTCTTTTCATCTTTCCCATGGAAAATTCAAACACAGAATGTGTTTGAAAATATATAAACATGTGCAAAGATAAATTACTGTTTTGCCAGTTTTGGTCTGCTTAGATATAATTCCTGAAATAATTTTTTGTGAGAATTATCAATGAGATAATTTTCAGTGAATTTCAAACTGCTGTATTCCACAACTGTAATGAAATATTGAGGTGAATGATGAAATAATTGGCCAATTTATGAAGGAATTTCCAAAAATATTTTGTTGATTTTTTATTATATCCACTCCATTCATACATATGTATTTCTCTCCACTATATTTTTCTTATTCAATTTATTGTTTTCTATACGAACTCTAAAGCAGAGCTTTTACATTTTCCTCCATAATTATTTCTGGCAATTTTTCAGTTGCACAAATTTATTTTATCAATTATATAAATCTGCTATGTATGTTGATAGTCAGGATAACTAACGCTTCCTTTTGTGGAAAAATAATCATGTTGTTTTATTCAACCCAAAAGTTTAAAATCTTTTTTGTTCTCCTAATTTCTCCAATGAATAACTTCCAGAAATATCTAATATTTGAATTTATAATTGATTTGGATCTTTCAATATATCACAGTTGTCATTGAGATAATTTTTTTTTTCAGTTCAACTCCATCGAATTTAACAATTTTTTCACGATCAAACCGAATCAATAATCAACTGTTTTCTCTTACCTGCTCTCCAACTCTTCCTGAAGTTGAATTGAGTGTGGCATTGATGAGATCATTCAGAGGAGGTCTTTCAGGTACCCATTGAAAGTGAGCAGCATACGCCATTACACCTAGATGTTCCACGTTTTTGTCAGCCATATCCCTTGCTGACAACACAGGTTGCACGCCTGAGAAAGAATGAATTTTTTTACTCAACAGAACAAAAATACTGTCTCTGAACGCGATTCAGCATCATCAGGAGCTCACAAAGTCTGAGTTATCTCCTGATGATGCTGACTTAGGCCAAGGGTGATCCTGACAAGATTGCATCATTCGAGTTTATCCCATCTCTTTAAGGATTGAGCATGGGTATGACGTTTGACTAGTTCCGCAATTGTCGAAGTCATCAGGCCGTAGATGCCACTGGGTCCTAAAATCTTTAGTCCAGTCGCTTCCTTGGCTAAAGAGTCGACAATGCGATTACCTTTACTTCTGTCGTGTCCTTTAATCCACCTCAGGATATTGTTAATATCTACCGAAGCTTTGGCTGAATCTTGGTGGCACTCTAGTACTAGCCCTGAGGTAACAGTATTTTTGTGTTGATACGGAAAAGTGTTTTCAATAGATGCTTATGATAAATTGACTATAACTCATCCGATTTTCTTCTGATGCACTGTTTGGAACCTTTGGTGTGGTAATCCCAATACCAAACCGTTATTTTTAACACCTCAACACTTGTTTCGATCACCAAGTGATCATCTTCGAAGGGAATATTTGATCTTCCTCTTGGTGATCCTCTCGTAGGTTGAAGTTGTTATATTACCGTTATATTTGGAGCATTTCATCTTGATTTCAGTTCATTCAAACCCAAATGGGAACAAAGCTTCAAGTCAATCAAAAATAACGTTACATATAAATAATTATATGGTTGCAACCTTTTCTTGATTTAAAATCTCTTCTGGATTGATTCAATGTTCCTTTTATGAGTTATAATATTGCCTTCCATTAAGTTAAGGAAAAATTTTTTTTTCGGATCTTTCATTATCTTGAAATTTCAGAAGAGTATCTCTTTGATAATACAAACCCATTCTCTTTCCAGATTCTAAAGCTTGACTCAGGTTAGCCTCCCAGTAAGCAGGATCATTTTTCAATTTTTCTGGAGCTGTAGCTGAACCTCCTAGTGATCGTATGATCTCGCTTATGACTTTTCCATCATTCCAATCACTCTGAAAAAGAAAATTCCATGTACTCAGTATTGAAAAAACGTCATCTTCTACTGAATTGTAGGTTGTGAATTGAGTTGACCTATTTGTACAAAATATATTCGAAAAATGTCGAAAATGATTGAAAATTAACAGTTGATAATTATGTTTCATACAGGGTGGGTTACCCCATATATGGGGTGCCCCACCCTGTATATGTAAACCCAGTTTCAACATTATCAAAAGATATGTGATTTGCCGATACTCGACGAGAATTTATAACGTATTCAAGAAACACTTCATTGTGAGACTTTTAACAAACAGTTTTACGAAAACACAACACATGATTCGCTATACAATAGTTTTCTCAAGCGTATTTATAAAAACGAGATTCGCTATACAATAGCTTTCTTTGGGGTATTATTAAAAACGTGTATAG